TAAACAGTTTAACCAAAGTCCTTGAATGAATTCATTGTCAGAGGGTTTGCTTTGTTATTTTGTGATCCAATGATATTTTATCTAATCAGACATATTTCTGGTGTTTCATGTTAATCTTCTCTAAATAACAAACGTCTCTGCTGCTCTCTGATTTCACCGTCAGTCGATGTTGTTGCTCTCAGCCAGCGCAGCTCCAAGTCCTGATGTGCTCCTTCCCATGGGAAACATCTGCAGACCCTAAAAAAGCTTCACAAGTCAACACCCAGCACACATGACGGAGCTGCTGTGGAGCTCAGAAGATGAAAGAAATGCTCAGAGACTGAAGTACACATTCTTATTGGAGGAATCCTAAGGTCTAAAGGATGAGCATAGTGCAGGGCATTTTCCTTATTTAGAAAATGTCAACTTCTATGATTTCAATAGGCCTTTATTGGTCATAATGGGAAGATGATTCCCATAATATGTTACATAAAATACATTATTTAGTGAGCTGTTAAAGGAGCATGCAGCTTTGTGATGACTTGTTATGAATTGTTGAACCACTGGGGTTGGATCTCTGGTGTCTTATAAACCCATGAGTTGTCTTCAAAGATTTTAAAAGCAGCCTAAAGGACCATTTGACGACTGTATCACATGTTTCTCTGCTTAAAGCTCCTGATTGGTTCAATGATGTAATATTTGTTTATCGTCTGTCTTTTGTTCTCTGTCTGAAACTCTTGTATGCTGCTGTCTTGGCCAGGACTCTCTGGTGTTGTATCTCAAAGAGAATCTCCTCCTGGTAAAATAAATGTCAAATGAAATGAAATAAATAAAAATGAGGATTGGGCGCTTTGTAAGCATGACACATAAAAAAAGAACAATCAATCAATCAAATAGTGACGGCCAAAGGAAATTAAGCACATGATCTAAATTTGAAAGAAATCATATTAATTTGGAAAGATTCATTAAAAAAATGAGCATTAGAGACTCTTTTATAGAATAGAATAGAATAGAATAGAAATACTTTATTGATCCCAAACTGGGAAATTGAGGCGTTACAGCAGCAGGTTATCCAAACACACAATATGAGCAAAAAACACAATATAATATTAAATACAAAGTAAATAAGCACTAAAAATATCAAAACTAAGAATGAGAATATATACAACCAGGATTTAACTTAGCATTACTAGTCTTAAATAAGAAAGATTAAATGTAAATGTGCAAAAACAGAGTTGTAAATGGACAGTATTGACATAAGTTAAAGTGCATGAGTGTAGACATATTAAACATTAGACTTTATAACATTAAAGTCTCTTGTTAAAAAAACAACAAATAAGGACTTTTATTATTTATTTAGATACTCTGCGCTTTCTTCTTATTCTATTTCTATTTCTATTTTTATTCTATATTCTATTTCTTAGGGCTGGGCACGTTAAGGCGTTATTTTCACATTAACTCATTAATTAATTATCGCTGACAATTATTTTATCTCACATTAACGCAGTTTTTATTGTTTATTTTCTTATTGTAAAAGTCTGTTGCTCACTGGCTTTTATTTTGTAAAATTCCATCGTGAGCGAGCCTCGTATGTTGCTTACTGCTGCGCATGTCTGCTGCGCATGTCTGCTGCGGCGCTCACAGGAAAGAGGGAACAGTGTTGCCAATTTGGCGACTTTCTCGCTAAATCTGGCGACTTTCCAAACCGCCTTGGCGACTTTTTTTGTCAACAGCTACTATCGACAAATCTAGCGACTTTTTCTGGTGTTATTGGAGACTTTTTGGTGTAGAAACTGACGTGAAAGCACGTATTGCTCTGCAGTTACTCAACGAGCAGCGGGTGCTGCCGTTAGCCCCTCCCCCTTCCTAAAGCATCACAGGCTGTCAGTGTAGCCTCGAGCAGCAGACCCAGCTGCAGTCAGAGAGGAGACCCACACCACTCTGCGTCCACACTGCAACCAATGCAATAAGCTTTAGTTTTGTATTTATTTGCTTTGATTACATTGTTTAAGTTGAGAAGTACATTTACAATAAAAGTGCGCTATACACTACTTTTGAATTCATTATTGGATTTTGCGTATAACAATGCGATTAATCGCGATTAATCACAGGAACTCATGCGATTAACGCGATTAAAACTTGTAATCGTTGCCCAGCCCTACTATTTCTACATTGTGTTTGAGAGCTACTGTATTCGTCGTATGTCAGATTCTTATTGTTCCCACGGCACTTAAAGGCAACACCGGCATACTCTTACGCAATTGGACGAGAAGTGGGAGAGAGGCGTGGCCACACCCTTTGTAACCCGACACCGGACCCATGCGCTGCGTTGACTGTAAACTTTCACCATGAGCTCCGCCAGTCGGGCTCGGCGAGCGGAGGACCGAGTGTGTCCGCTGTAACGGGACTCCCCGGTGCTCCTTATTATGTCTTATTGACCTTTTCAATCGGGATTTTTTTTACTGGACAAGTGAGAGATTAATTTAAAGTTTGTGTTGGAGTCATGGAGGCTGTTAGCAAGTGGAGCCCGCAGCAGGTGGTGGACTGGATGAGAGGTAACGGATGACTAATGTTATCTTATCAGGGGTCTCTCTCCTGCTGTGCTGTTTGATTTAACTTTTACATCATTTATCAATTATCACATTTCAAATGTTTACTTATTTATATACTAGTGTTATTATTATTTTTTAAGTGGGATGGTTTACATACTCATGACATATGAATTTGGACTGGTGTTTTGATGTTACTGGTTTGTTTGATTGTTTTCTTTTTGTTTTTATAGTTTGCTTTATGTATGTCTTTTCGTTTTGTCACGTTGGTGTTTTACTTTTGGAAAAATAAAGTACAAAATTAAATGTTACAAACTGTGAATGACCAAATACATTTATTTAATTCAATATTTCGTTTTTGGTAATTAAATTTAAAAAAACTGCGACTGATTTCATTTGAAATCCACAATAATACAAAGTTAAACCTTCTATCTTTTACTTAAAATTAAACTTTTGGTTTAACAACCGTAGTAAATCCCATAAAGTATATTAACAATACATTTAGGTATAAATCCACTGTCCTGCATAATAACAAGTCATTTAAAATGGATAAACGTCATGATTTTATTTATCAGCTGTAACATTTGAGTAATAACAATATTGTTATAATAATTTCCCTCCATTTAGACATATGTTACTCTGAGACTAGTTTCTCTACTATATGTTTTGTAGTTAGGCCTGCACGATATGAGAACAATATGCGGTAACATTGTTCTGTATTGCGATAACGATTTGAAGTGCGATAAGTAAATTAATTTATTAAACTAAATCTGCAGACATCGAGTTAAAATCATGAGCTATCAAAAATTACGATTACAAACATGTCCAAACATTAATAACTGACTTTCAGTTGTTGTCCCTTTTATGCAAAAACCCTTATTTGAATTTAACTGGTTAGCAGCATTACAAAAGCAGCATTCATAAAAATCACAAATGACATCAGTTTAAACTTTAGATATCTTGTCCTTAAGCAACTTTACAGCGAGTATAAGTCCAAAAACTTGTTAGATCTTGTATTTTAATAGGTTTAAAACAGCTTCTTTACTCTTCAGACATGAGGTTGTAGCTGGTTTAATCAACACATCAGTCTGTACATAATAAAGCACTGTACTTTGATTTAACATGTAGTATAATACTTATCCCTCTGTTGTGATGGTTCAGGTAAATTGGGCGTAAATGAGCTCAGGTCAGGCTGCAGGTTGTCACCTTGTTTACCTTTTTTTATGACATTACCTGTCCTCTGTTTGGATAGATACATGATGAGAGAGCACACACACTACGCTGGTTGGTATTACGAGCACTCTATAAAATTCATATCAGCGTGTCATAAAGAAATAAACAGGCCCGACCAGTTAACAGGTCAGCCATAAAGTGACAATCAGGCTCATGATCCAGGTGTGATAACGACCTGTTTTTAATTACTGAGAGGTTTGGACAAGAAGCAGCAGCAGGAGGAGGAGTGTGTGTAGACGCTCTGTTTTGATTCTATAAATGCATAAGGATTTTTTTATAGAGAAAAACCCCCTCAGTCGCCAAATGCTGGAACATTTTCCTTTTGGCAAGTAAATATCGGCGGCCTCTCTGCCACGTGGCGGGTAGCCGGACCAGGCTGTTGCATTGATTAAAGCTTTGCTAATTGGGAATGATTTTGCTCATAAAGAGTTTTACCTTGAGCTTGTGTCGGACTCAAAGTTTGACTTTTAATGTGAAAGAAAAAGACAATCAGAATAAGTAATCTTAAACAAAGATTAATATGACTCATATTAATGAGACGCCTGCAATATGAGTCATGCAGGCGTCTTTTTTTTGGATTCCTCTTCAGGTATATGGATGCTAAAGTTCTGGGGGCCGCCGAGCCCCTGACTTTGGTGGCCAAAGTGCACTAGTGGAGGCCCTTTGGTAAATAAAGCCGGCTGCTATCCAGCTGGTTGCTGTCTAGTGAAACTTTCAGTGCCACAAACTTTTCCCACTTGGGCTGCATTTAAATGATTTCTGCTTTTTGTGACTTTAGAGAACCTTACAGTGGACAGCGGTTTGCTTGAGGCTCAACACTGAGAACCCAAACCACTCCCAGAGGACTAATAGAAGTATACGAGCATGCTGCCATGTTGACATTAGGCGTGTGTTTGGAGATTAAACTCTCATTATTATTAGACAGAAGCTCAGGGAGTTGGTGTAGGCTTGTAGCTCTGTACTGTGATTCACCAAGCACGTTCATCAGATTCCACGCGTTTTAAAGCAAAACGATTATTTCGGTGTCTCACGATTCGTTTTGTTTTGGATTCTTGGGGCCACGATTCAGAGTCTATTTTTGATTCAAAACGATTCTGGATCCATGGATTCAAAGTCTATTTTTGAATGAGCACATACTTCAGGATCTCCTCCAGTCATCTGGGAGACTGGCTGAATTTCTTGCTGCTCCATTTGACTTCTACTGAGTTAAAGATGTAGCCTTAGCACTTAGCAGGGAGTGACTGGTTAGCCAACAAAAGAAAAGTTATGAATCTATCTAAAATCTCAGAAGATAAGAATCTCGACTTTTACATAAATCCTTAAGTGGTCGGTTCAAATACAAAAGTCGTCAAATACTGATAATATTTGCATCCCGTTTTGTCGTCTTAGTAAGACACAAAAGTGTATGAGTATGTTTCTTACGGGCAGTCGGAGAGCAGAGGAGGTGACGCTGGCTAAATCAGGGACGAAACATTGTTTTTTTTGTTCATTTTAATAAAAGAAATGAACCAGAACTTCTGTTTTGTTTTCACCCAACGCTGTGAATGTAACTCAAATGTTCACCGTGTAGCTCTGACAGTCGGCCCCACGTCTCTGAGAGACTTTTTCTCTATGGCTCGAATTTACTGATGTGAGAAAGTGAGCGTCCATTCAGCGCCGCTCGTCCTCCCCGACAGCTAACACACAAACACATACCGACACACACGTCATTTAGCAGCGGGGACAACGCAGAGCTGAGTGTCGGCGGCGGTCAATAAAGGCTCAAACATTCCCGCCTCTTCACTGAGGGTCGGCCTCCTGCTGTTTGGAGGGTCAGGGGGTCACTGTGACTCTTTACTGTGGAGGCGGTGTTGTTTAACCACTCCAACATGATCCCACTTTTGTTCTGCATGAAAAGATGACAACACACAGGGTCAGTCACATGACCCCCAACGGCTTCATTAAGCTCTGCCTCGCCCTGGGCTTCCTGTCACTTTCTGTGTTGTCTGATTCTGATCAAACAATCAGAACTTTATTGCAACATGTTTCTCATGTGATTCAACCACAAGACTCAGGACATTTCTACCGTTTTGCTGTTGTCAACAAAAATGGAAACCAACTTGTGATTGTCTGTCTCTCAGTCCTTTCTGATTTCCTCTCTGTGGCTCTGACCTCTAAGCCCATTGGTTCCTGCTGAAGTGATGAATCTTAATCATTTTCTACTGCCTGGTAGAAAACAGTTCCTTTTATTTGAATTGTGTCTGGTTAAAAATAAACGTGTTCCCTGAAGTCGTGGTTCAAGAAAGTAAAAAAAGGGAAGCTGAACTTGTCTGTGCTGTGAAAAATTCAGCCTTCACTTTGCTCTTGGCATCGTAGAATCTTAATTTGTCACTGACCTGGATTCTGTTGTAGTATTTACACTGTAACAGTGGAGTAGACCTCTGCCTCGGGGCAGGCAGTGAGGGGGTGTGTACTTGTGGAGTTATTTGTGTGTGTGTGTGTGTGTGTGTGTGTGTGTGTGTGTCTACCCTAACATTGAAGCTCTGAAGGAACAGGTTCTTTACATTTTGTGGTTCAGTAAAAATTCCCTCTGTTGTCCCTTAGTTTGTACCACACTGCTGAAACCCTCCACAAACCACAAACAACACAAAACTCTGAATCCTGGATAATCACAGAATTCGGGATAGTCAGGGAATTCCACTCTGGGAATATGGGTCACCGTTTATGGGTCACCGTTATCGTTTGCAGGTTCAGTGGTTACAACTTTAAACTGATGAACAAGTTTGTCAAAGAAACAAAGAAAATAAAACACTTCCTGTGCCAGATCTGTGAAGGCATGTTCATCTGAATGCTCGAGTCATTGACGGTTATTTTGCAGATTCATAGCAACTGATTTTATATTCATACAGAATTGTTTTCGTAACATTTTACGAAAAGTTTCCCACAACTTTTTGGTTGTTGTGAAAAACAGCCACAGTTCTACTCTTAAGGTAGTGACTGTTTGGTATGGATGTACAAAAAAAGATGGATACAGCAAAGTGTTGCGTGAATAAATCAATTTTCCTGAACTCACAGCGAAACACCTTTTGTATTGTGACCCAGGTGATCCTGCTCTAAATCCTGGCCAATAACCAAACTACTGTTCAGACTCTGTAGGGGCTGTGTTGAGGTTTTAAGATAAGATATCCTTTAAAGTCTTTATGTGATTTTTCACTCTTAAATATAATAGAAATCAAGTATCTCCTCTGAAAATAACTCTGTGAGTCATGACTGTCTACAATGGGTGTAACACCCGAGTCCCACTGTCTGTGATGTTTTCAGAGTTTTCAGAGTCCTATCTTCACTTTGTTTACATCGCCCGGACGGCCGGCTGACTCCTCCCCTCGTGTATAAAAGTTGTTTAATTGAGGGACTAGAGAAAAGAAGAATAACATACTGTACTCACTGCTTAACTGTGTTTCTAGATCACGCTCATTTCAGGTAAATTTACATGCAGTGTGAAGATACCAGCATAATAAAGATCGCTAGCATTAGCATGCTAACACAACAATGCAGCGCGAGTTGTTTTGGTTTCATGCTGGTGCTCAGCCTTTAAATGCACGGTATTTAAAATCCGCCGCCAGGCGGCTCTCAACCAAAACAATTACAAAAGATGACGTTGAGGATAGCGGGGAATCATGGGAGTTCTCTTCATATTATAAAATTACAGATTTCTCTGGCTTTGATAACTGTTTGAAATATTTGAGGTATTGTAAGTACTTAAAAAATAATATTATATAACAGATGTAGTGAATTTTTTATTATTTCAGATATTTGAATGTAAAATTGTCATAAAATTTTACATATTAAAAGTATGTTTTGAGGTACCCTTAAGGTACAATCTGAGTTTGTCTTCACTGACCCAAAATACATACATGTACCTGAACATACCATCTCAGTGTTTTGGACACGTCTCCATGAAGGCTGTTTGATTGTCGATCACTGACAGTCCACGATGTCTCTCTCAGATGAGTGAGATCGTCTCTGATCTAATTACACGGATGATTAAAAAAACTGCTTCAGGGCTCAGTCACAAACTGATCAGACAGCTGTAGCTCAGAGGTAAACACATCTGAGCTCAGCGTGTTCAGACAAATCTGCATACTTCATACCCGTCTGGCAGGTGCAGTCACACATCTCGCAGTGAATGACGACAGAATAGTTTGAGCGTGAGGAGTGTGTACACAAAGCCAGTAAACACGAGATACTGCGGCCAAAAGAGCCAAGGATTCACCTGTTCCAAATTCTCAGGTGTTTTTTTTTATCTTTTACTATAATCAATTCCAATTTCAGGTATTTGACTGTAAGTTCAATTAAAATGAACGATTTGATCTTGTCTGCTTCAGCTGTAAGAACTGAGATTTTAGATTTATAATTGACACAAATGGAACAAGTGCAGTTCATTTCTTGTATTTCCTAAATAATGTGCTAGGTCGGGACAATCTCCACAGCAGTTCTCCAGAAATTATCCAAATTTTATCCTGAGTGAAAACGGCTCTTGTGATGTCACAGTGGGATTCTGGTAAAAAAAAAAAAAAAATCCCCTCCCCTCCCCTGGTATCTCCACCTATGGACTCCAACCCCAGACTAAAGCTAAACTTTTACATGTCTGTCATTTTTATTCTCTCTACAGAGGAGTGATGTCTACCGGGGAAAACTCAGGGGGCGGGGCTCATTGCATTTAAAGAGACACACACACCAAAACGGAGCGTTCTGAGAGAGCTGGTTTATACAGGGTCACAAACCTCCTCTGGTGCTTGATTCATGTTATATTTTGAACAAAGCACAGCACAGATGTTTCATTTAGACCACAGGGGACTGTTTGAAAAGGTGGAGGAGGGGGGATAACATGTCCTCTTTAAGTTTATCGGGCTGTTTTTAATACATATTTAAAGAAGTTGGAGACACCGTTACCTCTGAGGATTTGGGCGGGGCTTCCGTTTCCATGGAGACGGATCAAAAAAAAAAACTGTTCGTTAAAGTTCCATCCTAACGGCTAGGCGAAGAGTTTCGGTCCCGTCTGGAGAAACTCCTCGGTCCCCCGTGGGTCCGGGACGGTGAAGTAGAGAAAAACAAGACAAGACTGAACAGCTACACTTTTTAAATGACTCTAAAAGTCTCCGTTGTTTCCAAAACTTCAAACTTCTTGACGGGCGTAGAGTCCGACCGAGCAGCAGCAGCTTCATGCGGATCTGATTATCAGAGAGATAGTGATGTGTCGGTCATGAACGATTCGTTCAAAACGAACGAATCATCTGGGTGAACGAACTGAACTGAATCACTTACTAAAAAGAGTTGTTCATTTCTCAACTTCAGTTGCCCTCTCCTCTCTTCCGTCTCGTGTCTCAAAGCTCCCGTTCACAGTACGTTCAGTGAACGAACTGAACGAGAGTTCCGACGTGAATCACGCTCCGACGTGAATCACTGAACGAACTGAGCGAGAGTTCCGACGTGAATCACTGAACGAACTGAACGAGAGCGCCGCCGACGTGAATCACTGAACGAACTGAGAGGAAGAGCGGAGCTCTCGTTCAGTTGAACGAGAGCTCCGCCGACATGAATCACTGAACGAACGAACTGAACGGGAGCTCCGACGTGAATCACTGAACGAACTGAACGGGAGCTCCGACGTGAATCACTGAACGAACTGAACGAGAGCGCCGACGTGAATCACTGAACGAACTGAGAGGAAGAGCGGAGCTCTCGTTCAGTTCGTTCACTTAACAAACGGAACGGGAGCTCCGACGTGAATCACTGAACGAACTGAGAGGGAGAGAGAGACTCAGAGCTCCCGTTCAGAATCAGTACACACAATCACTTTCACCACCCGTTTTTCATATTTTAGGTTTCACTACGCAAATAAAAGATGTACGCAAATAAATATTAGGTTATTAATTATTTTTAATTAGATAAAATGAAAACAATAAAAAATAAAAGTGAGAAACATAAATTACAGTGCATGGCCATGCATTTACATCTACAGTTAAGACATTAAACAAAGCTGCCTAATATATAATCATAGTTTGTTTAAATAAAGCAGCCCTTGCCGACAAAGTAGCCTAAATTAGCCTATATTATTATTTTAAAAATCTGCTTATATAATTTAAAATATAACTGTTCTGGTACAGGATATATTCGTTGCCATGCATATTTTCTGCATGTAGCCTATATTAAGTTAAATTAATTGTCATTCATGATAATGTTTGCAAACTGAAAGCTTCATAACAGCAAGCACATACATTTTCGCAACACCCAGCTTAATTGTTATTAATTAATGATCGTACAAATCATTGACTGACTGATGAAAGTGATTGTGTGTACTGATTCTGAACGGGAGCTCTGAGTCTCTCGCTCCCTCTCAGTACGTTCAGTGAACGAACTGAACGAACTGAACGAGAGCTCCGCCTCCTCTCTCTTCCTCTCAGTTCGTTAAGTGATTCACGTCGGCGGCGCTCTCGTTCAGTTCGTTCAGTTCGAACTGAACGAACTGAACGAACTGAACGAGAGCTCCGCCTCCTCTCTCTCTCCCGCTCAGTCAGTCAGTCAGTGATTTGTGTTCTGAACGTACTGAACAGAACGGTCGGGGAAAATAAATGTGATTGTTTTAGCAGCTTTCAGTTTGCAAACTGTAACTTTATCCAACTAAATTCTCAGCTCATTGGTTTATTATTCACCACCGGCTGTTCTCAGTACGATCGCGAGCAGAACTAAACGTTCGGCCGTGTTTCAGTTTATTAAATTCTGATTCACAGACAGAGCTGCAGAGAAGTACTGAACGATTCGGTGAACGAATCATTTGAACGAATCACTTTACTGAACTGATTCTACTGATTCAGTACACTGAAAAGAACTGCTTTTCACATCACTACAGAGAGAGACGAACACACAGATACAAACCACCTATTATGCTGCGTTCAAGTGGGGTCGGATAAATCGGAAAGAGGAACTTCCCAGTTGTAAAATGCACATGAACACCTCCTCAAGTTGTAAACAACTCGGAAAAGAATTGGGTGCCCGACTTGACGTCAGAATAGTCATCACATAAGGGGCTAAATATGTTTTGTTAATGTTAAAATACTTTTTATTCATTCACGTATTGCACATCAACTTTTTCCCCACTCGCAAAAAAAACACCCGAGCAGCACTTGAATGCAGCATTACACAACAGAGAGGAGATGAGACACAAAGAGGTCTCACTCTGACGGAATTTCCAGTGACCGGACATCCAACATTTCTACACGCAAACTAACAGCAAGACTCGAAACAAGTAAAAGTACAAATTTTACACTTTGGAAAAACTCTGTTAGAAGATTGGATTTATACAATTTAAGGGAAGTGTGTCGATGTTTAAAAGTAGTTTGTGAGAGTTTTGCGTGGACTGTTTTATTATCTCTAAGTGAGTCATTGTTCCAGTCAAAGACGATCACTGCCTGGACTCTCATCAGATTATTCTGTGGCGCCCTCTCATGGTAGAAATACTTCATTACACGAAATGCAATTCAAGTACATTCTTTTTATTTTAATTCATAAAAATGATTAAATCACTGGTTTTATTTTACTTAAATTTAAAAAAAATAGCTCAATTGAAAATAGGATTTAGGCTAAGCACCAAAAGTTGAAGAAGACCTCAACCTGTCACACCAACTTTAGAGAAATAAGATTTTATTATTATTGTATTAATTAAAGTTATTGATGCATTAAAATGTTTTTCTCTTTAATGTTGCAGCTGGTCAACGTGGAGTTAATCTTCATTACTTAAAATACTTCCATGTATTAAGTTATACATCTTCACTTTTCATTTTGTATTTATATTGAAATAAAAATTTAGCCGATGCTGATTCCGATACCGATCTTTGTTTCGTAAACTCCCACAATGCCAACATTTTCTCTCATGTTTGACAATAAAAACAGGTCAGAGTTTGTTCAACAGGTCACTTTATCATTTGACCAATAAAAAACCTCTTCTCTGAATCAGTAGTTAAGTGTACTGGATAGTCAGCACTAAATTGATTTGGCACCAACAGGGCCGATATCAGCCAATAGGCTACTGATGTTGAACTGATTCATCTGTGCATCCCTACTTTATATTTGTTGTGTTTCATGTTTGTTTGTTTCAACATTCAGTATAGTGAGAAACAAGCAAAACTAGAGGTCACAATACTTCACCAGCTTCATCATAATGACTCAGTTTGTGCCATTAACATGATGATGAGGATTAAAGTGGTAAATTGTGGGACCTCTGTCGTGTTCCTGCTGGCTTTAAGGCAGCGATCGTCTGTTAACAGATTCTTCACACATTCATTCACTAACGTATTAACAACGTTTCAACTGTCACGTCTCATAAATATGTTGGTGAAAATGTCTCTAAACGAAGGAACACTACACCAAATCCTCTTACTGAAAAATAAATGTCAAAATAAAAAGTTCTCTATCTCGATATAACACCTCGTCTCGCCCCACTCATCATTATTTACACTCAGGTATGAAGACAAAAGGTTTTAATATCATCCAGGTGACTTTACATGTGTTATTCTAAATCAGCTGATAACTCAGAGTTTATGTAAACGTCTGTAACCTCTCCATTACAGCTCTGAACACTGTTAGAAACTATTACAAATAAAGATTATTTAAAAATAAAGATCCCTCTCAGGTAACTCGGTTAATAATGACTCATCAGGTGTTTAAAGTCAGTTTCCTCTGATGACTCGTTTGAGCAGATTGAACATACACTCACGTACACGGTTAATTTTATACCGTTATGATGCCGATCTCTGTTCAGAAATGTCATATTTTAAATGTTTACATCACTGCTCATCAGATTTAGGCTCATACTTGCAGTTTTAAAGTACGGTTTTCATTTTTTAAGACTTTAAATCGGTAATGACGCCAACTTGTCCATTAACCTCCATTCATTCAGATGGAATGATTTCACCCAGAAAGGGGCGGGGCCGGCATCGTTTGGGCAAAGTACCCGGATGGGTTGCTCTCATGAATAATATGTGTGTAACTGTTTCAGGAGCGCCACACTCACACAGCCCACTGGGATGTTTTCCTATAGAGTGTAAATATTGGTTTAACCCACAGTGACCCAGCCTCAGTCGAGTTATTTTAACTTTCCACAATAACTGACAGACTTCCTAATCAAAGGTTGTGGATTAAAATAATGTCTGCCTCTTTTTTTCCCTTCTCCTAAAGTTTCTTTCCACTCCCACTCAAGACCTTCTTTGATTCTACTTCTGTATTCAGTTTTTCCAAATGGTACCTTTACATCTATATTAATTAGATTTAAAGCTGATTTTGTAATTGAATACTTCTTCTTCTTCTTCTTCTTCTTCTTCTTCTTCTTCTTCTTCTTCTTCTTCTGTGGCAGCTGACATCAGAAAAGTGTCATTACTGCCATCTGCTGGATTTAAATATCCCTCAACAGACCTGTTCTCAAAAGAGATTTAAACAAGCATCTTCGGCCTCTCCCTCTTTCACCACCCTCCAAAATACTTTTCTCTTCTTACAAGTCCCTCTCTCTCTCCATTTCTGACTTCCTGTTCTGTCTATGTGTTACATACTTCCTACATTTAGTAAGTACATGTTCACCTGCTTCTGCTTGATTGCATACCTCACAAAGAGCAGATGAATGTTTTCCAGTGATATGCAGAGTACTTAACCTGGTCATTACTCCTCTCTTCTGTAGCTCCTCCCCCTCTATTTGACTTCATCTATTTCCTGCTGAACTTCCTGAATACAGAAGCTCAGCGGGTACAAACAGTAGCAGGTTTTTATTTTTTGTTCACTTGAACATTTGCAATGAAGACCAGAAGAAAACATTTAGTTCATGTGAGTTTATTCAGGATGTCAAACTTCAGTTTGTTCACACATCAAATCAGTAAAGTGTGTTCAATCATTTCATGAACACATTCACTTCATCCACACAATCACTTTGTTTGATCAGAATCTCCACTCACAGAAAACAATGATTTATCTCCTTATTGATTTAATCAGGAGGATTACATTTTTAAAACACCTCAGAGGACATTTTTACATCACTTTGAATATGAACAACAACATTTATTCTGACTAACTCATTTCTTTAAGTGTGATTTTATAGATTTTCTACAAATGTACAAAGTGGTGAGAAGAGAAAATCAGCATGAAAGAAAAGTTTGCTGCTCTCTCTCTCTCTCTTCAGACTCCTGAATCAGAACAG